ACCAGCGACCTAAGGATCACCGCTTAATTATATCTACAGTCCTCCGCTCTGCCAACTGAGCTATCGAGGGATACAAACTGATGAATAAATTTACCTTATAAAGTCAACTAATCCTATTTCTACACAAAATGTACTCATACCTAATAAATAAATTGAGATTTTGAACAAATACTTATATCATTTCTCACATACATATTAATATATATTTATATTTTGAAAATAGAACAATCCAAATTTAAAATCATTAGATTAAAAAAAAAGGCAAATATTGGCAAATACATCTCTTATTCAATTCAATATATATGCCTTTTTATTATTACTATATATAGTCACGAGAGTCTTTCCTGATCAGTCAGTCATTGGCCGGCCGCCTCTGTCACGGATGCGCGCGCACAGGGAGGTCACGTGCTCGCCGGCAGCCAACGGGCGCGCGCCGCCGGCAGGGGGGAAGGGGGCATTACGTCACTCAAGGTCACTTACGCGCCAACGATGACACATGATCATAGCCGTCCAATAGGAGGGCGCCGGCCATCCGTGACAGAGGCGGCCTATGACTGATTGATTAGGATTAGGATATGCATTTATTTAAGGCGCCAATTTATCGGGTAAAACACGGGTGTTGCCCGGGTCATTCGGCTAGTATATATATAGTCACGACCGTCATCGGCCGCCTCTGTCACGGATGCTCCCTCGAGCCGGATTTGAACCAGCGACCTAAGGATCACCGTTGTAACATCCACAGTCGGGTAAAACACGGGCGTTGCCCGGGTCATTCGGCTAGTATAAACATAAGATTAAAAAAAAGCATTAAAGAAAAAAACTATATATGGTTAAAAGGGAGGTTTTTAAAAGTATATATATACTTTATACCGTATGCCTAAATAAGTCGAGAGACTTTTTGAAATAAAAACAACTTTTTGTGGCTAACCGTGTCAGTGGTGATTAATGATCCTACAGGTAGAAAGAAGAAATGTCATTCCAGAAAATCACGCGGATTTCCGAAGGGGTCGATCGTGTGTGAATCTTATATTCATATTGACCACTCTAATAAAACTATCACTGAGGAAAAAGAGAGGAAAATTATATGTATTTTTTGTTGATTTGAGAAAAGAATTTGATACAGTTCCTCACTCATTACTTTGGAAGAAATTAACCAATCTGGGCGTAAGCAATCAATTTATGCACGCAATTAGAAATTACTACGAACAGGCGATTGTGGCAGTCAGATGGAGGGGATCAATTACAGAAAATATCAAGATACATTCGGGCGTTTTACAATGAGAACCACTATCGCCATTACTTTTTATATTATTCATGACGGACCTGATTAAAATGTATGACAACTCAGATCTGACGAGTGTATACCTGCCGGAATTTGGGGACGTTCACCTACTGATGTATGCAGATGATATTGCTATTATAGGGGAGTCGAGGATAAACCTCCAAAAAAGATTAATATTTTGAAAGAATATCTTGGTGAGAACTATATGACACTGAACGAGTCCAAATCGAATGTTATGGTATTTCTCAATGGTGGTAAACCCTCAAGAGAAGATAGATGGTACTGGAGTGGTAAACCTCTGATGGTAACAAGAAGATATAATTACTTGGGATACCCTCTGGTCAGTACAACTAAAACCACTCAAGCCGCAAACTTTTTCAAAGGAAAAGCACTTGCGGCAATAAATGCTACAACCCCAATATTAGCTAAATCAAAAATTAACTCATCAAACTCTGCAATGAAACTGTTTGATTCTATTGTGATGGCTGTTTTAATGTATGCTGCTCCAATTTGGGCAACAGAGCCTAAAGATTTATTGGATCATATACAAGATACATTTATTCGTAGGTTCTTGAATTTGCCTAGATATACACCAGGATACATAATAAGACCAGAAACAGGCCGCGTCTCATTAATAATAACAGCTCTGAAATTGACTTTGAAATACTGGCTGAGGGTGCTGAGTATGGATACAAATAGATTGCCTCGAATATGTTTAAATAGAATGAGGCAAATATCCTGTGCAATACAGGTGCGCCCATCGGGTTTATAAAACAATTAAGCAATTTACTCAATAATAACGGATCCTCGTGGCTTACTTAATGTAATGATCCTGATTCACTAAGGAAATGAGATCCCAGGAATATTAAGAACTGCGATAGAGCAAACAATACAAAATGACTTAACAAGAATAACCCAATCAAAGTTATATTCCCACTATAGAGATATATATACAACGTTTAACACCGAAGAATATTTCTTACGTGTACTCCCTTTTCCTGTCATCAGATTAATTGCCCAATTTAGAACCCTTTAAATTTTTTTCAGAGAACACCATCGGATTTTAATGGGGGGTGAAGACCTGAAATGTACTTTCTGTGGATCAGGAATAGCAATGGAGATGTTGCACTATTTATTTGATTGTGCTGGTCTGTCTGAGGAAAGACGAAAACTAAATGATAAAACGGGGCAACTTTGGCCTTCATTTCCGGCACTAATTAATGAAATATCAAAGAATAGGTATATAGCGGTGGCGATATTTGGATTCCACAGGATTATATCCCGGAAAAAGGCCACACAGTGTTCTCCCCATCCCTTGTGAACTGTCGAATCCTGTATAGGGCGAGAGGCCCTAAAAAAAGGCTTTGTTGTTGTTGTTTGAATAACTATCAGAAAGCTATCAGAAGACTTGGATATCTCTTTTGGAACATGCCAAACCATCATAAAGAATGATGTGCATCTTAAACGATCCCCGGCTAAATTTGTCAGACATCTCTTAACGATTGAGCAGAAAGAGCATAGCAAAGAAGCGTACAAAAACATGGTCGAAAGGTTTAATTCTGATCCTCATTGGCTCAAAAATGTCATCACGAGAGATGAAACATGGGTGTACGGCTATGATCCCGAGACTAAGAGGCAAACAAGCCAGTTGCTGGAGCCTGGAGAACCAAGATTCAAGAAAGCAAGGATGATCAAATCGAAGCTTAAGTGTCTTCTTATCACTTTCTTTGAGGTAAAGGGATTGGTACACTATGAATTCGTGCCCGAAGGTCAGACTATTAATCAACATTACTATCTTGATGTATTGCGACGTTTAGGGAGGCTGTGCGTCAGAAACGACCCGAAAAATGGCATCAGAAAAATTGGCTCTTGCATCATGACAACATACGGTTACATAGGGCCGTCACTGTACAACTCTATTTGGCTAAACACGGAATTACTTCACTTCCCCAGCCACTCTATTCTCCTGAACTTGCTCCCAACGACTTTTTCCTTTACCCTAAAATAAAATCTTAAAAGGACGTCGATTTGTCTCAATAGCTGAGATAAAGGAGAATACGAAGAATATTTTGAAAAGCCTGAAAGAGAGGATTTTCAGAGGTGTTTTGATATCTGGAAAAAAAATGGAACAAGTGTATATATAGTGATGGTGATTAATTTATGAAATTTGAAATAAAACTTTATTTTACATTTGTATTTATTTAAATACTAGACGAATGGCCCGGGCAATGCCCGGGTTTTACCCGAGTGCGAATATATTTTAAAAACGTTTTAATTCAAATACTATTCGTTACATTTATAAATTGGCGCCATAGGTGTCACTCTTGTGAAACGTCCCGTTCCAAACTGTGTGTTTTTAAAATGTTTTAACTATATACAGGGTGTACCAGGTAAATTGGGAATTTCAACAATGGTATTTTAACTGAAATTTTTTGCAAGTAAAAATTAAAATATCCGAATGAAATTTGACACAGTAGTAGATAAAAGGATATAGTTTTTATTTATTCAATGTGGTTTCCATTATTAGCTACAACAGTCTCGAGGCGAGTGCGAAATGAAGCACAGGCCTTGGCGACGATGACCTTGTCCATTTGGGTCATCACCGTGTGAACTGCTTTCTTGACAGACTGGATGGTGGTATGAGGAGCTTTGTTGACATCTCTCTCAACAACGCCCCATACATAGTAGTCGAGGGGATTGCAATCTGGAGAATTAGGGGGCCAAATATCAGGACCCCAGTGACTAGGGACGTTAAGTGTCAGCCACGATTGTGTCTTTTTTGCCTTATGGGCTGGAGCTGAGTCCTGTTGGAAGACATACTTCCTTCCTGCGGCCACCATGTCCATCCAAGGCTTCACAACGGTCTCCAGAACATTGATGTAGGTGTCAGCGTTCATCCTAAGGCCCTTCTCAAAGAAATGGGGAGGCATGACATCACTTTCACTGCTGATAACGCCAAGGACCATTACGGAGGCAGGAAATTTCGTGTGCATCGCGACAGGTATCTCTGAGGGGTCTTTACAGATCCAGCGATCATTCCTGGGATTTACCTTTTGGTCCACGTCAAAGTTCTTTTCGTCAGAGAAGAACCTTAGCATGCCAAAAGAGTCGTGTTTCAGGTTGTTGAGGAGGGCAGCAGCCTTTCCTTTTCTGTTATTCTTCATATTCTCAGTCAGCAACTGACCTTTCCGAAGGGCATAAGACTTGAGACCAAGGTCCTCATGGATAGTTCTGACAATTGTCATAGAGCCAACGTCCATTTCCTTGGCTATGGCCCTCATGCTCTTCCCAGGGTTTCCATCAATCTTCTCCTTGACATTTTTGACAAATTCTTCGCCTCTTACCCTGTCCGATCGACGCGAGTGCTTTTTCCTTGTAGCTATCCCCTCTTTGTTACTGTCGGCCTCATCAAACTGCTTCTTGACACAATAAATAGTGGTTTTGGGCAACTTAAGAAAATCCACTATCTCTTTGGGGCTCCTTCCGGCGCGCAGAGCAACGATGATGGCAGCTCGATTTTCAAATTCTCGGTTACTCTTCATCACTACACTGCTCACACATGTACTGTTGCATTTAACATGAATATGGCTACGTAATGAAAAAAAAACAAGTTTTTAATCTCAAGTAGTTTTTGTTTTATGGACTGTCAAAGTTAGTCCCAATATACCTGGTACACTCTGTATAATATAACGGTATAATAACGGTATAAAGAAATAATGAGCCTATAGCCTAGTGGTCATGGCATCTGCCCGGTAAGCGGAAGGTCGTGGGTTCGATTCCCATCCCTAGACCTTGTATACATCTTGCTTCCTAGGGTTGCCTAGAGTGGCCGCTATAGACAGGGTGGTCTGTATAGACAGGTGGATGTATCACACAGCTGATAACAGGGTTGCCTAGAGTGGCCGCTATAGACAAGGTGGTCTGTATAGACAGGTGGATGTATCACACAGCAGATAACAGGGTTGCCAAGAGTGGCCGCTATAGACAGGGTGGTCTGTATAGACAGGTGGATGTATCACACAGCTGATAACAGGGTTGCCTAGAGTGGCCGCTATAGACAGGGTGGTCTGTATAGACAGGTGGATGTATCACACAGCTGATAACAGGGTTGTCTAGAGTGGTCGCTATAGACAGGGTGGTCTGTATATACAGGTGTATGTATCACACTGCTGATAACAGGGTTGCCTAAAGTGACCGCTATAGAAAGGGTGGTCTGTATAGACAGGTGGATGTAGCACACTGATGATAACAGGGTTGCCTAAAGTGACCGCTATAGACAGGGTGGTCTGTATAGACAGGTGGATGTATCACACAGCTGATAACAGGGTTGTCTAGAGTGGCCGCTATAGACAGGTGTATGTATCACACAGCTGATAACAGGGTTATCTAGAATGGCCGCTATATACAGGGTGGTCTGTATAGACAGGTGAATGTAACACACTGCTGATAACAGGGTTGTCTAGAGTGGTCGCTATAGACAGGGTGGTCTGTATAGACAGGTGTATGTTTCACACTGCTGATAACAAGGTTGCCTAAAGTAACCGCTATAGACAGGGTGGTCTGTATAGACAGGTGGATGTATCACACAGCTGATAACAGGGTTGTCTAGAGTGGCCGCTATAGACAGGTGTATGTATCACACAGCTGATAACAGGGTTATCTAAATGGCCGCTATATACAGGGTGGTCTGTATAGACAGATGAATGTAACACACTGCTAATAACAGGGTTGTCTAGAGTGGTCGCTATAGACAGGGTGGTCTGTATAGACAGGTGTATGTATCACACTGCTGATAACAGGGTTGCCTAAAGTGACCGCTATAGACAGGGTGGTCTGTATAGACAGGTGAATGTAACACACTGATGATAACAGGGTTGCCTAAAGTGACCGCTATAGACAGGGTGGTCTGTATAGACAGGTGGATGTAGCACACTGCTGATAACAGGGGTGTCTAGAGTGGCCACTATAGACAGGGTGGTCTGTATAGACAGGTGGATGTAACACACTGCTGATAACAGGGTTGTCTAGAATGGCCGCTATAGACAGGTGTATGTATCACACAGCTGATAACAGGGTTGTCTAGAGGGGGGCAGGGAGGCCACGTGTTCGCCGGCAGCCAATGGGCGCGCATTCTATCCGTGAACTTCAGACAGTGAGCTTCAGACAGTGAACTTCAGACAGTGAGCTTCAGACAGTGAACTTCAGACAGTGAACTTCAGACAGACAGAATAAGGCAATTATATAAGTAGATTTAGCATTCCTGAAAATCATTGATCACACTATGTAATACAAATTTGCAAACGAATTTCAATTGAACAATAATTTTGTAATTATTAAATATCATTGTGGGGGCTGAGAGACTTCCTTCCAGTCTGCTGGGATGACAGACCACGCCGTCGGCAAACATACAAGCGGGCCATGAAATAGGATATGACCACCGCTGTGTGGCGCGGCAGATCGGCGGAAGTCAATGAGAACCCCTTGTCTTCCCCTATAAAATGTATATAAGGCATAATACCAATAAACACTAACTTTGAAATACTTTTCTGAGCCATCGCTGGACTAATAAATTACATTGGTGATCCGGACGTGATTAAAAATGTTGTGGCCATTTGGACTCAGACCCAACAATGAAAACTATTAAAGTGTGAATTTGAGGAAACAAGGTTCTCGGCAGGATGTGCAGGATACCCTTTGACCGGGTCCTGCAGACCACCATGGCACATTATGCTGATTTATCAAGTGGCCTGAAGGATGTCCAGTGACCTGTTGACTCATCCTACATCCTGGGAAGAACCTTTAATGGCCTGAGGGACGTCCAATTGCACCATTCAATTTATCTTTCTTATGCATGCCTTTTTTCTGTAAATATTTATCTTGGCTTAGGATTAACAAAGCATTTTTTTTAAATAGTAAGAGTAGCCTTTTAATAATTCATTTGAAATATTTATTAAATAATTTTTAAAATAAATTTACAAATTAGTTCTATAATTCCTGAAAATTGATAAATTAATTATTCTTTCCCAAATGGAATTGTTGGCTTCCGTAGGCGTTTCTTACTGGGAAAAAGAAAGAGAGGATCCAATTAAATAATTTAGTAGCGTTTATTAAAACAAAATCATAATAGTGAACAACACATATAACAGAGAGTACCGTCGTCTTCCGGGTATTCCTTCTACTGGGGAGCTCGGATTCTATATTCTGTGCGTTTATAATCTGTTTATCTGTGGCTCTCTGGTCGGGATGGCGCCTACATTCGGCCATTCCTGGATTTCAATCGTCCTCGATTGAACCTTGCGTTGCAGGAACGTCGTGGGTTGCGTCGGGGGGTATCTTCTACTTCTGGCTCCTCGTCCGGACTTTCTTCTGTAGCTGAATCATCTTCTTCACTGTGCCAAGACTTCAGTTGACTGATATGGGCCGTTGTCATGTAGAACCGTCCACTGGTTCTTTCGCTTAACTGAGTCACTCTATACGTGTCGCTTGGCAGAACCTCGGTAATTATCAAAGGTCCTCGATATTTGGGTTGTGCCTTGGTTGGTTCACCCGTCATTTTGGGTACATGCCTCATCACTACAATTTCTCCTACTTCGAATTGGATTGTACGGCACTTCTTCTTATCGTAGTATGTCTTCATAATTTCTTGTTTATTCTCAATTTGGGTTCTCACACTCTCTTGAATTCTATCCGGCTCGGTCCATGGGTCCACGTCTTCGTCGGCTAATCTTCTAAGTATCCCATCGTGGAATCGAGGGGAATAGCCGTGGAGTGTTTCGAACGGTGTTTTATTCGTCGTCTTGTTCACCGCATTGTTCAGGTCTCGCTCTACCTCCTTGATCTTCAGGTCCCAATCCTTCCGTCGCGGATCCTCGATACTGGTTGCTATAGTGGACAATACTGTTCGGTTCACTCTTTCGACCATCCCGTTCCCTTGCGGATGTTTCGTAGAGTTCAGAGTATGATGTATTCCATTTCCTCGACAGAATTCTTCAAATTGCCTTGAGGTAAAACATGACCCTCTGTCGCTGATGATCTTGTCGGGTAGTCCGAAATCATTCACAAAACTTTTCATTACCTTCAGGACGTTCTGCGTCGATGTATTCCTTACAGGGCTTAATCGGACAAATCTTGTCAGATTATCGACAATCACTAAAAGTTCCTGGTTACCTTTTGTACTTCTCACGAAGGGGCCTACGTGGTCCATGTGTACGATGGAAAACGGTCTCTTGCCTGACTTAATGGGATGTAGGAAGCCTTGTTGTTTTCCACCGGGAACTTTGTTAAATAGACACTCGAGACACATAGCCACATGGCGTCGAACGTACCTCTTCATTGAAGGAAACCAGTACAATTCCTTAATTTTGTTGACAGTCCTATCAGTCGCAAAATGTCCCATTAGATCATGGAATTTGACAACTAAGCTTTTCCTCGTACTTTTGGGTATAACATACAGGGCTCGTTCCTCTTCTCCATTTTTCACCATGCGGAAAAGTCTGCCTCCTTTGTAGCTGTAGTCGTTAATTCTATTTTGTTCTCCTACTGTCCTATCACACGGGTCCTTTCGAAAGATCTGGATCAGGTCTCTCAATTCGGGGTCGGAATGCTGAATCATCAAGATTTGTTCTTCCAGTGTGATTGCGAAGCACACTTCAAGGTTTTTCTCCACGATTTCTTCCATCGTGTCTCTAGGGTCGTCGACTGGAGCTCTACTCATTCCGTCTACGTGGGCCATCTTCTCCCCTGGTTTATGTCGAATTTCGAAATCGTATTCCTGAATCAGATTGTACCATCGCGCTATCTGAGGATTTGTAGTCTTCTTCGCGTTCATGTAGACCAGTGCTTGGCAATCTGTAACCACTGTAAACTTGATTCCTACGAGGAACTGACGTAGTCGATCCAAGGTCCACACTATCGCCATCAGCTCCAATTTGCTTGAGTGGTACTTCTTCTCGGCCTCTGTTGTCTTCTTGCTCACACAGTAGACCAAGCGCCATTTGCAGTCTTCGTCCATCTGTAGCACCATTCCTGCTAATCCCTCAGCACTCGCATCGCAATGTACTTCTGTCTTGAGTTCAGGGTTGTAATGAGCTAGTACTGGATATTCGACCAGATCCTTTCGTAGTCCTCCAAATGACCTTCGCTGTTCTTCCTTCCATTCAAATTGTGAACCTTTCTTCGTAAGTCTGCTTAGCGGTTCTGCTTTCCTCGCGAAGTCCTTTACAAATCGTCTGAAGAAGTTCGTCAGTCCCAGAAAGCGTCGTATGTCGTGGACATTCTTGGGTTCTGGAAATTCTTCTATCGCCTTGATCTTTCTTGGGCCTGGCTTAAGTCCGCCTGTACTGATGACATACCCTAAGAACTCAACTTCCCTCCTTCCGAACTCACATTTAGAGGGTTTCAGTGTCAACTTCGCTGATCTTATTCTTTCGAGGACTTCCCTCAACCTTTCGATCATCTCCCGCCAATCCTTTGCCGGGATAATCACGTCGTCGAGATAGCAGAATGCCTTCTTGTTCAGCAGCGGACCTAGGACAGTGTGAATCAGTCTTTGGAATTCAGCTGGTGCGTTGGCGAGTCCAAAAATCATCCTTTCGAATTGACCTGTATCATCTGGGGTGATGAATGCTGTCTTTAATTTTGCCTTATCGGTCAGTGGTATCTGCAGATATCCATGCGCCAGATCCAGAGTGGTGAAGAATTTCGCATTCCTTAGGCCTTCCAGAAGGTCGTCTATCCTTGGTAATGGGAACTTGTCCTTAACTGTTTGAATGTTGAGTCTCCTATAATCTACCACCAGACGA